ATTCAGCAATCCAAGTCGAGACACTAGACCCTTATCGAGGACACCATCAGCGAGCTCATCAAAAGGATGTCCAGGTATGTCAAGGTCCCTGACCGGCCAACTCTAAAGAAAGGTGGGAAGAAGAAACTCAAGCTCTCTGATCCTAATGATAGACCATTCCTAAGAACGAACATGAAACAAGGTTCTCCTTAGATGAAGTCCTAAAGGGTCATAAGAGTACATACATTTCTATGCTGAATCTTGACTTGGCAGATAAGGGTCCCTATACACCCAACTCTGTGCATTTTAAACCTGAGTTAGGAGTTATATTCCTTGACTATGAAGGTGAAGTCAGATTTCAGAGAATGTTAGAGCTACATCTATGTCCAATGGATCATTTGGTTTAAATTTTGCTTTGGATAGATGACAGCATGCCTGGAAAAGTCATAGATATGAAGATACAAAGGGAATTCCTACGTCGAAGAAAACTTGGTGAAAATGTACCTGGGTACATAGATCCAAGATCTCTAGAATAGTTTCTCTTTTTAACAACAATCCACTTTTCCTTGTAACTTCATGTACTATATCTACTTTCAGTTATTATACTTATATTCTGTAAGTTCTGGACATCTACTGTAATACTTGCAATATTTCCTATGATTAATAAAATGAGTATTCGATGTACTTCACTGAAAAAGATCCCTGAAAAAAGTAATAGGGACACAAGTCTATGAGTTCCGATGTTACTTTTCACATTCGCTGACAATCTATAAGTCAGTGAATAAGCTTTCAGTTTTTGTTTCCGTACTTGTAATTTTCTTAAATATAACTTATGAAAATTTTCAAGCTGAGACTAATTAACTGAAAAAGATCCCAAAATAGTAAAAAGGGACATGTACTTTATATGTAACTTTTCCTTACTATTATTTGATAAGATAACCTTCTTTATGTTATCTTGTTATCATCAAATAGGGGGAGATTGTTGATCCTCTCTCTCAGTAATTTGACGATAATCCATTTTCACTTATAGGTTGTATTTATGTTTCTGTATTTTCAGTTCCAGCGATCTTCACTGAGTATGTTTAGTGATCGCTGAAGAACTTACATTGTAATTCTATCAGAGACAGCAATACTTCAAGAAGACAACACTCACACCAAAGAACCTTCAGCAAATGTCGAAGACTGAAACTGAAGATTAGAGACTGACGAGTACGTGATCTGAAGCGGTATTCAGTGATTACAAGTCTATCTATATATGTGTGAAAACTGCTCAAGCTTCAGCGAATGATGATGAGACCTTCAGGTCATTCCAGCATTCAGCAATCAAAGGAAGCTTGTTTTGCACGATTTTTGTTGTCTTGTTCTTATGCACACAAAGGACAAAACCCATAGCCTTACGAAAGTTAGTACGATACGGAGCCGACTAGTCGACTCTATTGTCCACCAACTTTAGGTAAGGATGTCTGCTCATGAATAGTGTTTTTTATACTATTCACTATAGCGAAGGACAAGTCTTCCTCTTAAGGCTTGACACACACTCTAACCCTACCATATTGCATTAAATGAACATTAAATGCACTGGGTATAAATAGAAGTGTTTCTTCTCCATGCAGAGTGCACGCAACTCACTCTCTAACCCTAATTCTTACTTCAAGYATTTTYTARCTTAAGTAAAGGATCTTCTTTACAACAATTTCTTTTCTTGTATTTGCTAAGACTTTGTGTGTAACTAAAGATTGTTTAGATAAGTTTTCATTACCTTATCTTTCCGCAAACAATCTTGTAAAATATGTATTGATCTTCTCTATCAATATATATTTTAAATTTGAAAATATTGTGTTTGTATTAATCCCCCCTTTCTACAAATTGTTTCTCTTCTTGTAGACCCTAACGGGACCAACACTGAGGCCATTGCATACATTGCTTATTTGATTAATAGGGCACCTACTAAAAGTGTGTTTGATAAGACACCCCTCAAAGCCTGGAGTGGTTACAACCTGAGTGTGAATCATCTCAGAATATTTGGATGTGTGGATTATGCTCATATACCTAGTCAAAGAATAGGCAAACTAGATGAAAAGTCTGAAAAGGCAGTGTTTGTAGGATATAGTGATAATACCAAGCGTGCAAGCTTTATGATCCGTTGACAAAGAGGGTGATCACGAGTAGGGACGTGTTTTTGATAAGGTAAAGCATAAATTGGACTCACATGTGATGGTAAAGGTACGTGTATTGTTACCGAAGATAATCAAGATCAAAATGACTCAATTGATGAGCATGATCAAATTGGCACATCCTCTCCAACTAACACTTCTCCTCCGGTAAGTAATGATGGACATTCTTTGAGTTCTACTAATACAACCTCAGAAAGCTCCTCATTCTCTAGTATGCACAATAGAAAAACATGAAGCCTGAGAGATTTGCAGGAAAATACCCAAAGATTGAACTTTAATGATGTAGCAGACTTCGTATTATTTGTTGATGTTGACCCTCTGTATTATGAAGAGGCATGTCTTGACAAGAAATGGAGGGATGTTATGGATAGTGAAATGAACTCTATATTAAAGAACAAGACCTGGGAGTTGGTTGAATTACCCCAGGGATATAAACCTATCAGTGTAAGGTGGATCTACAAGACCAAACTTAATGAAAAAGGTAAGATAGACAAACACAAATCCAAGTCAGTTGTAATAGGCTACAAGCAACAACATGGTGTAAATTATCAAGAAGTTTTTGCTCCTGTTATTAGATTTTAAACAATACGTTGTTCTAGCCCTTGCTGCACAGAATAACCGGAGTATCTATCAAATGGACATGAAATGAAGCCCCTAAGAGAAGTCACTGGGCAGCCACTAAGCGTATACTAAGGTATGTTAAAGGAACTTTAAATCATGGGATTATGTATATTCAAACCCATGATTCAAGTTTGAGAGGCTTTTTGATAGTGATTATGGGGGAAACTTGGTTGATAGCAGGAGTACTATGGGTTACATTTTCAATTTGGGATCTGGGCTATATCTTCGCAATCAAGAAAACAGAAAGTTGTTGCTTTGTTTTCTACTGAGGAAAAATATATGGCCCTTTATTCTCTTGGGTGTTATGCTTTGTGGCTTAGAGGCATTTTAGAAGAATTGGGTGTCCTCAAGGCAATGCAACTAAAGTTTTATGCGACAACAAGTCTGCCATAGCCTTAACAAAAAAAACCGGTGTTTCATGGGAAAAGTAAGCATACATGTATCAAGTTTCACTTCATTAGAGAGCTTGTTCAGAATCTCGAAGTCGAAGTTGTTTTCTGTGGATCAAAGGACCAAGTTGCTAACATTCTTACCAAAGCCTTGCACAGTGGAAATTTTTGCTGTTTGAAGAAGGAACTTGGAGTTGTTGATGTCTAGATTATGGGGGAATATTGGATTATAAGCTAGACCTTGTACATAGCTAGTTAGTATGGTAGTTAAGATGGCAGTTATGCCCTGCTTAACCGTCAATCTTGAAAGGGTATCCTTGATAGCTTGTGTCGGTTCATACTATATATATATATATGTGTGTGTGTGTGTGTATATATATCTCTTGTATTAGGTATGTTAATTCACTGTGAAATAAAGAATTAATGTATTGAGTTTATGAATCTTTATCTCTTTCTAACAAATATGAATGTGGGCAAGAAATGGAGGGTGGACAAAGCATACCTGAATTTCCATGAATTCTACCCTGAATTTCTGGCCAAAAATGGGGAACAAAATTTCAGGCCAAATCTTGTGAACAAATTTGTTTGTCTTGGTTAATTCTATCTAGTTTTCTGACATAAGAAATTTCTGAATTATAAAGCAACGCACAAGATCACCTTGATGAGATGATTAATTAATTAATAGATAGACAAAAAACAACACACACATACAAATTCCCTTCCCGTTTGTTGGATATTAGTCCAAATTTGTCCCACATAGAAAATAGAGAGAAAGTTTCATGTGTTAATATGACCATACTCACATGACTTATTAAGTTGGAGAGCGGCCCAAGAGAAGGATTTTCATTGGGCTTTGGTGTGTCATTACCCAATGTTTAATGGTTAAAAGATTGGGCCTTGGGGCTCTTATGACCTAATCACGTTTTTTGCCAAATTCGACAACAGTGTCTCACGCAGGTATTCGTGCGACCAAATGTAATTGCGTTTTTGCAGTTTATTTCGGTTAGATTGGAAAGGTATAGAAAATCATATACGTTTTCCCCACACAATTATCTCTCAAAATTTCCTCTCCATATCGTTGCTCCATGGAACGTATTATCGATTCGATGAAATCAGTTTGACGTGCATCAATCCGATTAGATAGTTGTATCCTCAAGAGGACGTCCGTTTACCAACGCACGATTGGGGGCGAAATTTCTCCTTAGGACACTGCAATTGTAGGCCTCTATCTCTTGGTCTCTACACATTGATTTCATCGTAAAAGGTTCGATTTTTACCGAATTTCTTGGTTAAATTCCTGTTAATTTCTGTTTTGTTTCTAATTTTGGAAGTGTAATTCAATACGTCGTTGGATTGGTTCTAACAACGCTTTGTAATTATATATATACATCCATACACACACACACATGTATATATATATATATATATATATATATATATATATAAAAGCTTCAGTTATACTTAACTTGTCACAACATGTATTTTTGTTTCTTTTCTCCCAGGCTCCTTAGCTTCCAACTGTATATAAAAGACACATAATGATAAGATAAAAATAAAAAGCATTGTAAAATAAAAGCTAGGTATACATCCATCGAGAGAAGACTATGAAGAAGCAATTAAATTAGCTTGCTATATGCATTTGGTAATTAGTAGAAAAGCCATAGCTTCTTCTTCCTCTTCCTCTTCCTCTGCATCCTCTTGTTCCTTTTAGCTACTACTCATCATATATATATATATATATATATATATGCTGCTTCAATTTAGGCTTCTGCTGTTCTTCAGAAGCACAAACAGAAATGTTGAAGATGCAAAATGTTAGACATCCATCAACAAGAGATCAATCGCCTTCCTTTTGAACCCAATCTGGCCTCCCCAAGGTGAACTCTAAGCTTGGATTTCTTTGATCTACAGTGAATCCTAAGTAGCTTTTTAGCTTCAAAGAATCACATTCCTGCAATAACAAAAAGTATAAGGATCACATTTTATTATGGAATCCAAAAAATAAAAAAGGTTCCAAGCTTAAGATATAGATGTAGTTGTTTGATGCATGAATACCTCGGCAAAATGTCGACTGGCAGTCCACGGTGACAAGAAGGTTGATGAGGGTCTTCCGAGATCAATTGGGTTTGCGTCGGACCATGCATCTCCATTGCTGAGAATAAATAGTAATTGGTTTGAAAACTTAACCACAGTGGATATCAACAATGTTCAAACAAAGAAGCCAATATAAGTCACCTTGTCTGGTCTAAGCAATTTATTACATCAAAGTGGTACACATTCTGGGCTAAGTATAGCATGTCATTCTCAAATTTCAAGGTACATATTTTACGTACTATACATTCGGAACAAAATGATAACAATTGAAACTTAAATTCGTCGAGGTGCCCTCCTCCCTTCTCATCGACTTTCCCTTCTCCCTTCAGGAACCATCTCCACCCTCCCCTCCCAGCCCCATTCCTATCGGTCAAACATACACACTATATACACAACACCAGAGACAACGCACACACGATATACACAACGCCAGAGACAACGCACACACAACAAATTATCTTTGCTAATATATACATTTTACGAGAACACAATAACACCCTTTAACTATAGTCAATCACATGTGATGCTATATCCAATCACATATGATACTCCTGTGATACTAAATCAAAGACGTGGACAAATTTTGCTATGACCTAGATTGCAGGCCAAGTCGCTAGTGTACCACTAGTTCTTCTAACGTGTATTGTAATAAGAGTGTTTTTGATGTGATACTATAATCTATCATATGTGATATTAAATCTGAGCCGTAGACGACCTTTGACATGGCCACCGGCCTCACATGTATTATCAAATGTGATATGAATGTTCTCACATTTTCATATATGGAGGTGTTCTCGTTTGTACCTCCACACACATGTTAATTTAAGTGAGATTGGAGGTTTTCCTCCATCCCACGTTGGTAAGGAATGAAAAACATAAAGGCATTTATAAGCCTTTTCCTACAATTAGGCTTTGAACATGTGGGTGGGCTCATGGTGGTTTATGAGTGGAAGATCCAATGTACACGCATGTGTGGTTGTGGCGGAGGATGCAGGTGCAAGATTCGTGCAGCGACACGAGGAGGCACACTTCGTATGACGCATAAGCCTCGTCCCCATCTCCCGAGTCTTTTTTTTTAGCAAATCATGGAGAGAATTGGATAATTACTAATTAATTAAAAGAAACAATTTATTAGTAATTATCTTCGATGTTTAGCAGATTAATTACAGGTTTTTTTATATGATTAAAGTTACAAAATTTAAACTTTGAACACATTTTATTTGTTTAAGTCGGAGATAATTTCAGTTGGAGAATAAGTCTCCAACTAATCCATCATCTCTGATTCTAGGTTAAACCCTTTCCCAAAATACACTGAAATTGAATTATCTCTTTCTCTCTGTCGCCACCTTCTGCTTGCTTCATTTTCTTACTGTTCCTGCATCTAATTTGCTTCGTTTAATTGTCACTCCTGTTGGCTCTCAAATTACTTTAACTGCATCAAATATTGGGGCTTTACGACTTCAGACTCACAACATTAAGAGTGGTCGTATAAAACCTTTAAGGGCAAGTTATATCTGTGCAAGTTTTGCTTCAAGTCGTTAGCAACATGTTGGTTTTAATTTTCTATTCACTAAGTGAACAAGTCTACTTCTACTCCTTTATTCTATCAAATCTATAGCGTAGGATAAATCCAATCAGTGTGGTGTGTTTGTCTCCTTGGAGTTTTATTTCAGATTTTAAAGTTTTCATCTTTGAGTAATACAGCTTTGAACTTTTTATTTTCTTTCTGGCTTCAAACTTTATCGAATATTCACTTATATCAACCTATTTTTCAACGATATATATATATACAACATCCTCACACCCATACAAACACATACACACAAAACAGATATTTGCTAAGACGCGTCTCTCTCTCTCTATACACACACACACACACACATATATATATATATATATATATTGAACCTATATAAAATTTGCTCAACCGAAAACACAATGCTCGCCAAAGATGGGGAAAGATCCACCTTTCCCGCCTCCCCCTCCCTGTTTATCGTTTATGTGTGTGTGTTTATGTGTTGTTGTTGTATGTCATCTCCAGTGAAAAAGGTTAGTTTGTGTATGTGTGTTGTTAACAACTTAAGATTGCTTGTTTTCTTTTTCATGTTTTCCTGCTTGTGTGTGTTGTTTACATTTGGAGAAGGGGGAAATGTGTCAAGGAGTTTGTCGACGAAGATGTGTGTGATAATGGAGGATATGTGTGTGTGTGTGTTGCGGGCAAATATTGACGTAGTAGGAGCTGGGTGGGTCAACGAAGATGGCAACTGTGTGTCTCTGTGTATATATATATATATATATATATAATATAAAGAATATTAACTACAATTATGTATTATATATTATACAATTATAGAATATTATATTATACTATAACCCTCACTACAACAAAATTGGATTTATAACAAGACTCTCAATTTCTAAGCGTTCTAATAAACCTTTTTATAAGACCTACTTTACAGGACCAAAAAAATAAAGCGTCTTATCTAAAGGCGTTGTAATAAGTTTATATGACGTTTTTTAATGTCGTAATAAGTTTTTAGGACATTTTTAATATAAAGCGTTCAATTAGCAACTTTATAGAATACTATTTTAAAATTGTCCTATAAAAACAAATGTCCTATAAAAAATTGAGTTTATAAGACACTTTCTCAAAAGTGTCCTATAAAGTTGCTAATGTGACACTTTGTACTAAAAATGTCCTAAAAAACTTGTTAAGACACCCAAAAACGTCATATAAACTTATTACAATGGTTAACAAGAGGGACCCAAATTCAATGAAACTAGAGAGCATTGTTTCTTTAACCATTATTTGTAGGTTCAACAAAACATACTAGCATAGGTACCAAGATTCGCAGAATGTTTTTGTATGAAATGCATTTTGTTAAAAGAATTTGATTTTGAAGGAATTCAAATAAAATGTTGTCAGGTTTGACCACTTGTTTGATTGATAGACATTGAAATGAAATCTGTTAAATAATTGGAATCTGTCTGTTTGGTTCACAGAATGTAGCTTTATAATCTGTCACGAACCATTTCAACATTCCAGATTCATTAATTATAATGGTTTTAAACCATGTAAAAGTATTGCTAAACATCCTTCCGTTCTTAATACACATTAACAAGAAAAATGGTAAAGTTAATGTGTTTTACTTCGTTTTTTATTTTAAAGAACTTATATTTAAATCTACGTTTTTTCAAAAGTATTTTATCTTTGTTGTTAATCGAAGATAAAGTTAGGAATATACATGAGAAAAGGACATTAATTGATGAATGCATTTGCTCCATAAAGTAGTAGTACACTACACATATGACAAGTCAATCAATAATGTAAATATGACGGTACATTTATCCGCTTCAAAATATAAACCGCCAACGCCTTTTTACGTGTGGTCCGAATGCTTTTCAAATCTATGTATTAACCTAACGTTACTGTTCGAGCAAAAAAGGTTGATTATCTTCTAATTTGATCGGGCCCACACGAAATTTAATGTTATTATTGATGTTAAAATAGAAATTCTAGAGACTTCACAAATTTTCTATTTCAACAGTTCGACTAAAATGAATACAGAAATAGCTATACATGTTTTCGTTTGTATTAAAGTGTTGGTAGCTTCTAGCCCTGATATACCCATCAATACAATAAAACGGTTGGTCATCGGTTGATTAACCTTCAAATTAAAAGACTAGCGTTTACGCCTTACAACGTATAACTTCATCTTTCGCTAGTAAAGATACCTTTTGAATATTACATTTTTCAATTGCAATCACTATTGGATGATAATCTTTTGTCATATTTATTATATGGGTTTTGGATCTCTCAAAAATGCTACAAAAACATGGTAGAATACTTTCTTGTGAACAAAGTTGTATATGTTAAATACTATTAAGCATTTAATTCTATGGTTTTTTAGATATATGGTAATCCAAGTGAGGACTATTTATGTGATATTCAACCAAAATGAAGGTTATTATAAAAACAACTTATTGACTTGTTTCAGTGTGGCACCGATAATAAACATTTTTGAGTGTTTGGATAAACAACTTATACCAGTAGTGTCAAACCGGTAATAAGGAGTTTTTGAAGAAGTTAAACACTTCTAACTTATAATAAGTTGATAAGTGCTTTTGTAGAAAAGTATAAGTTATTTCAAGTAAGCAATCTCAAACACCCCTAAACAAGTGTAAGGACTACGAAATTACAACCGTAATTCAAATCCTCCCACCTCAACCATGCTACCACCACCGCCACCACCGCCCCCCATAACAACTGGCCACCACCATCCTCTTGGTCTAGCCGGCCCTTCTCCCGTCGCATCCCTATCATCATTGTCAAACCCTACCCATGTTGCCGTCCTCCCTACCTGTCCCTATATGTCTCATGGGATCGCTAGCCATTTGATAACCAAGGGATCTTTTTTCAAGTTTAGTTTTTCATGTTTTGACCATAAAATATATTTGTTTTTCCATAATTTTTTTTATTAACCTAGATGTGCAACCCCGCTATGTGCGCCAACTAATCCTAGGACGACCACTTGCTTTACAAGCAGGTAGCCCGGAATCACCGCATTTGAACCTCCGTGGCCATAAGAGGATTTTTGTTCCTTTTTGGATTAACTACCAGATATAAATCAGGGTATGCTTCTTACATTATTGAAAGTTTTGGTCGGTTGTAATGTGAAAAAAACCCAATTGCAATAGTGTTAGAAAGTTCTGAAAGAAAAAGAAAAGTTGACTGCTTTATCTTCTGATAAACTAACGTGACTGTGTATTACAGTAGCTTTATTTTCTTTTCCTTTTAAGCTTCTCCAACACCAAGCTATACCCAAGTCCAAATCTCAGGTCAAATCTACGAAAAGGAAGAAATCTAACGAAAGAGAATTAAGGCTGCCACATGAGAGTTTTATTCTTCAAAAATGGGGGAATACTCTCTGGGGTTTTGCCACTTCTATGTCCAAAATATCATGCAAGAAAGCAAAAGTTAATTACTCAAAGAATATTCAGTACACACAAGAAGAAACGAACCTTGAAGAATTGCTCCATAGGGTCGTGGTGGTGGTGGTAGCAGATGAGGAATTAGGGTGGTCGAAAACTTGTTGGTCTGGGGGGTGTCTTTGATCGATAAAACTCCCTACCTTTCCATTTCCCATGGTGGAGCTGTCATCTTCTCCAGATCCATCATCAGATTGCCCTTCAGTTTAATAGAAGGAGAATGTAATCACTAAAAGATTTTGATTTGGTAGTGAAGCTATTCATGAACTTTTAATGGGGAATATACATGTTAATAATTAAGGTGCTGGTGCCATCCAACCCCTTTTAACTGTGTAATAGAATACCTGACGAAGCTGCAGGTTTGTCAGTTGTTTTAACAGTTCTATACATCTGCAAAATCATTGATACAATTATACAAAAGTGACAAAAAAATGCAGTAAACAAAGTAGGAAAAAAGGTAAGGAAGAAAACGAATTGATTAAGTGTGTGTTTTAATGGTGAATTAATTGGGCTGGATTTCTTGTTATCATGACGGTTGTTATTATTGAGTAATAATGCTTACTTTTTTTCTCTTATCATTGTGATATCATTTCTCTTCCCCTCACTAGCTCTACTTTCTGTTAACTCAGCCAGTCAATCCACTTGGGGAGAGAGAGAAAGAGAAATAAGGATACCTGTAAATTATGGCTCTTGACATGAGCTAGGGTGAGATCTCATCTCTTCCCCTCCGTGACTACTACTGTTCTTTTAACCCCAGTCAGTCACTCCACTCAGATAGAGAAAAAGAGACTCAGATATACCTACATATATATATATATAGAGAGAGAGAGAGAGAGAAAGAGATCTAGAGAGAGAGAGGATACCTGTAAATGACTTTTGACATGAGCTAGTGTTAGATCTTTGACATCCATGAGCTCCAAAACTGATTTAGGCGTTGCCCCTAAACAAATTTAAAGCATAAACCCTCAAACAGCAATCACTTTATAAGGTACGAGTAACTAAATTAATCTAGAAAACTGGATAGGAATTATCGAAGTCAATTTTGCAGGTTTTAGTCATTTACTTTCATGGCCACCGAGAAGCTCGACTGCGTGAACAAAGCGCGAGTGAAGGGTGCTAGTCCATCGCATCCTGGGTGCCCTCATACTCCTCTTAGTTGGAAGCTTTGGTAAAAATTTTGATCTTAGCATACCATGTGAGACTTCATGTGAAGTTGGCCCTCCACCATAGTTGTGGTGGTGGAGTTGATACGATGATGATAACCTGCTGAATCTTGCCTCAATTCCACCACCGCCACCACAATTTGGTATACTGAAACCTGATGATGAAGACCCACGAGGCATAGGGTTTAAAAATGGCATGTGATTTCCGCCATCAGCGAAATAAGGGAAAGAAGAAGAAGAGGAAGATGGATACAGACACATCGTCTTTGGTTCTTTCTCGCGTGGACCATCCAAATTCGGCAGGAAGGGAAACTGTCGGTTGTGATACACCGGAATCCCCTTGATCGGTTTCAAACATTTGGATGCATCAAGCAGCGAAACAAAATTGTTAGGTGGTTGATTGTAGATTCGATGGTGGTTATGATTAGGATGATGATGAAAAACGTTTTGTGGGTGATACTGATCTCTCACAGTTAAAGACGGTGCAAGATTCCTTGATGAACAAGGTAAGGAAAGATCAATGTAAGCATCTCTTTGTGAAGTGTTTTCTGTATGAACGGAAGAAGTGTCTGGAGGGCTAATTTGGAGAGAGAGATCAGGAAGTGGGTTTGAAGATGGTTGTGGTTCTATGGAGATCCCATCAAAGGGCATTTTCTTGGTCTATGATAGGAGGATGATTTCACACACACATACCCACTTTTATCTCTCCATTCTCTCTCAGATGGGATTGCTTCAACACTGATCTTTTCTTGTTCAATCAGATAATGGATAGATAGATAGCAAGAAAGAGAAGGGATAGAACAAAGGCAATCAGCAACACAGAGAAAAAGAACAAGATTTGAAAGGGTAGAAAGCTAAGAAAGAAGACTTCCAAGAAAGGCTGAAAACTGAAGTGAAAGTGATGGAGATAGAGAAAGAGAAAGAGAGGAAGTACGTAGATATGAGAGAAAAAAAGGGATTAGGAGGGAGCCATTGAATTAGAAACAAATAAAGTAAAAGATGGAATTCCTGAAAGAGATGAAAAGGAGGGGGGGTAGGGGGGGTGAGGTGGGCCTCTGGTGGTGTTCCTCGATAGTATATATCGGAAAATGACAGTAGCTAAAGAAAAAACAACTTCCCCACCCTCCTTCACTCTCTATCACACACAGACACTCAATAATCAAAAATAAGCAAAACAGCAAAGAGAACAAATACACAACCACACACACACATGAAGGAGATAAATTTAAAATAATTAAAGAATGTGTGTGAGTATATACATACATACATATATATATATATAGAGAGAGAGAGAGAGAGGAAGGTCAGTTAAATTTTGCTTCCCCGTTGAGGACGGGTTGAAGAGAGAGAGAGATGTGATTCCTTTCCCCCCACTCTCTTCGCTACTCTTTTCTTACATAAACACACTTGCTTTACTTTACCGCAGACTGAGCCTAAGTACACTAATTGAATACCATTTTCGTGCTACACTCTAAACATGCAAACCTATTGTATAATTTATATAAATATATATATATATATATATATATATATATATATATTTCAAATAACATCAAGTTCTCATAAGTTATAAAACATATACATACACACACATATATACCCAAGATCAAACATAGACCTACTAAATATTAGAAACCTATGAAACCAATCCAAGCCATTATGGTTTCATATATGTTGTTCTTGTGTGTTTGTATAGATGTTTTTTTATGTATAAACATATTTTTGTGTTTTTTTTTCATGCATAAAACATTCTTGAACGTTTAACCTAGAGATGGCCAAATCGGCCCGGCCCTGGACCGGGACCGACAAAGGACCGGCCCGGGACCGGGACCGGTAATGACCGGTTATGGGACCAAAAACCGGGACCAATTGAGGTTTTTGGTAGTTTTGTGGGACCGGGACCGGTTATGGGACCGACTATGGCCCGGCCCGGCCCGAAAATTCAAATAATTTTATAAATAAATGTATTTTTAAATAATTTTATAATGTATTTTTATAAGAAAACGTAATTTTAATTATATTAAAACGCATTTTTAAAGTGTATTTGAGTGACCCAATTGTAAATTTTATAATGTATTAAATATATATATATATATATCATTAAAAAAATAAAATAAAAATCTTATTTTTTTAATGCAAGGACCGGTTGGGACCGAGACCGGGACCGGCGGCCCATAACTGGTTATGAAGTACCTATACCGGTTCTATCATTTTCGACCGGGACCGGGACCGAGACCGGTACCGGTTACGCCGGGACCGGTTATGAGAAAGGTGAGGACCGATTGGAACCAGTGTTTGGCCATCTCTAGTTTAACCTACGAAACAATAATGTATTAACATTGAATGTTTATGTTTCAATTATCTACACATGAAAGGTAGTTTGTAAGTTTGCAACATTTAATGGGTGTTTATGTGATCTTCCCCCTGCCCCCTCCCCCCTCTAGAGAGAGAAAGACCCATTCAAGGGATAACTGAATAGTTTGTGATAATTGTAAGATTCAATCTCAACCATAAATCAACGGATAAATTAGGAAATTAATAATTATGGTAGTTTGAGTTAAAATTATAATTAGAAGGCATTTTAGGTATTTTTAAAAAACTCTTCTATCCTCTCTCATCTTTTCTCTCTCATCTCTCCGACCTCCAATCTCCGGCGTCCGGTAAACATTAATCCGGCATGTACCAAGTAATCACAAAGATACACAATGTGATACCATTATGATACCAACTCAAACCTTAAAAACAAAGATACACAATGTGATACCCATTGTGATATAATGTAATACCGAGTTCACCGGAGATTGGAGGTCGAAGAAAGGAGAGAGAAGTTTTTTAAAAATACATAATATGTCATCTAATTATAATTTTAACTCAAACTACCATAATTATTAATTTTCTAATAAGCCCATATATATATATATATATATATATATATATGCATTTTTGTTAGGAACCTAAAATTGGTTAGGAACAAAAGGATTGTCCACAATGCAACAAGTGGTAGATATATTCTCGATATAGACATGTTATTCATCATTAATAGCATCGCATATTCATAATGAATGTGTCATTTATGATGAATAAAAAGTTCATATTCACCATGAACACACACACATACGCACATAAAGATAGGTTCGTACGAGAATGATATATATTTAAAAAAATAAGAAAAATGACCAAATTATGTACAAAATCGCATATGATTTTACATTAATGGCAACAACAAAAAAGTGTACGGACGACCCTATGGCCGTGCGGAAAGGTTGAATTATAAGGTCGCATGAATCACATGTGATTTTGTACGTAATGTTAGTGTGAAATACATGTGATTCGACCATTTTCTTATTTTTTTCTTAAATACGTATCATTCTCGTATAAATCCGACTCTACACACGTGTGTGTGTATATATATATATATATATATATATATATATGAAAATATAAACACTTAACCTTTTGTAAAGAAAGAGCACTCAAACTTTTTTATAAAAGAGAGAATCACTGAAGAAAACTTTTCAAACCTAGCATAATATTTAAACATTTTTGAACAACTTTAATCCAAAGATTAAGAAATATGAAATGGTTAACTCATGTCACTTGCAATGACGATCAAATGATGGAAATGCTTACTCTCAACTCGATGAACTTGATATAGAAATTAAAGATTAGAGTTGAAGAACATTCAAGACGTTTCTTAATAGAGTTTTGAGAGGATTTTTCATAGTTGAAGAGCAAGGGGCTGTGTATTAAAAATAAGAAAAACCCCTTTAAAAGAAATCTAATTATTTTGAAAAACATTACTCTTGGATCTCCTTAGATGCCATTCACGAACGTCTTTGCAGATCAACTTTCCTGATGACTACGAATTCTAGATGTCGAACCCGCTATGTGAACCGACTAATTCCAAGATGATCACCGGAGTCTCCGTATTTGAACTTTCGTGGCCACAAGGGAATTTTTATTTCTCCTTAGATTTGAACTTGAGATCTCCAAGTACTTTTGACCTTTAGAACCAAGCTCAAACCAATCACACACCACCCTTGTGGTAAGTATAATAAGACTTGTGAAGGCCTTCCACGTCCATGACAATGTCTACTTTCTTCTATCAAATTAGATGATACATTTAGTCTTTTGATTTTTTTTTTTTTCAAATTTGAATTAAAAATTTCAAATAAAAGTTTCTACTAAACATTTTATTAAAACTAACATTCTAATAAAAATTTTCTATATTGTTTTATAAAAATAAGTGTTTTTTAAAAATTCTTTTGAGATGTAATTTTAAAGGACATTTTAAAATTAGTTCAACCAAATCAAGATTTGGTTATTAATCACTCGATATCATGTGAAATTCTGAGGACGACTACATCTTGGCTTAGATTTGATCTTTGAATATTTGATGAGACACATTCTATTGCTTTCTTTAACTTTTGACTTTTGTCATGGATGTCGAGGCAATACGGCATGTTTCCCTAGACAACAATTTTCATGGATTATTTGATCAAACAAGGTTCTTTATTTGATCCTCAATATACCATTAAAATGCACATCAAGTAGAATTGTTATCCATTAAGCATTTATTATGCTTGTAATCATTAAAACAAATATATATATATATATATATAAAGATGTGTTACATGAGCATACTAATAACCCAAATTTTTTTCTTATTAAAAAACAGGCTTAAGAGGTTCGGGAACAAGGCCTAGAAAGCCTCAACCTTGTGATCTCTAGTGAAGAACACAGATAAACCTTTGAAGGAATTTTTTTTGCCCTTAATCGTCTTCTAAAAACCGCATTCAAAAACCCTCAAATCCCCAATTATAAAGCTGAGACATCACCGTTTGAACTCTGATTTAAGCTTTAATCATGAAGATGAGTGACATCACTTGTAACTAATATTAAGTTTTGTTTGATTTTTCAGTATTAGAGTTAGGGTTTTAGCTTTTGTGTAATAGTTGTGATAATGTATGAAGGTACAACGAAAATCATGAGTATGTAGTTGAAGACAAGTTTCAACAAGTTTGTGAACACTAGAGATGACTCATTGGGGCATGATGATGAGGATGAAACCGAGAAAAATCAAGGTATTGAATCGCAAGCCTCACGAATAAGGAACCAAGTTTGTCACTGTTTTTTTGTCTTTCAGTATATCAATCACATGTGATAACTATGTATCAATCACAGTCATTTTGGGTTGATGTTAGGTAATATCACAAGTAATCACATGTGATAGTGGGTTGAATCCATTTAGTTTGCATGCTATATATATATATCAAATCTAGTCATATGTGACCGTTTTGTTCTTAAAGAGAAGCCAGACAAAAAACCAACTTTGTATTTGATTGTCTTTTGTGTTTCCAATTTATGTATCACATGTGATTTTTTTTTTCTTCATGTCATTGAATTGTAAATTGTATTTCATGTATAATATTGGGAGAGGTTTGTTTTGGTTGATGTTAGAAAATATCACAAGTGTTATTATTCACAGTGTAATCTCACGCAAACTAACAAAAATATCATAAGTGATATTTTTTCGAGAGTTGTTTGTATATCTCATGATTAACAATGCCCACTATCACGTATGCCAGTGAGTCGAATTCATTTGTATTACTTGTTATATATAATAAATGCAATAACGTGTGACAATTACATTCTCATATTAATGTAGCTGGATGTTAATATGAGATCACATGTGATACTTGTTTTTCTTTCTCATATCATCAATCTCAAAACAATATCATGTGTGGTTCAAAGCTTTTTGTGGTTTGCAGTATCAAAACATTGTCGAATAATTTGGACATGCACTTTGTTTATTCCCGTGATTCATAGAGAGTTGCATCGGTTTATATTACTGATTTAAGTGATCATAATATAATTAAAATCACATGACA